TCGCAAAAGTTCTCTATGGACTCGCAGACCAACTAGCCTCCCCACTCTCCAAGATCTTCGAAATTTCCATGGTAGTAGGGACTCTGCTTGCTGACTGAAAGCTAGCCAACATCAATCCCATATATAGAGGGGGAGAAAGAACCTGGACAATTAGCATCAGACCCGAGATTCTCACAAGCATTTGTTGCAAAATAATGGAGAAAATAGTGAAAAGGGAGCTGATGAGACATACTGAGGAGAAGAGCTTGCTTAACGCGCATCAACATGGATTTAGATGTGATCGACCTTGTTTCACTAACCTGCTAACTTCGATGGAAGACTGGACGAAATTCTTAAAGATGGGTTTGTCCGTACTTCAAACCCGCTCCTAGATGGAAAGAGAAGGCAGACACCAATGAGGAGGATAATATATTCTGGAGCCGAATAAACGGCGTCCCAATTATGTGCCAGGGAATGCGTCAAAGCGACTTAAGACGGACCACCTCTGAATCGGTCTTGAATGTGATTTGTCGGTTGAAAAGACGATCGGGTGAATGCCAGACAGCCCTGGTGCACACGTGCAGACACTCGCGAGGGGCCCAGCGTGGAGACGGACGCTCGGAGTTGGGTCAATACAGTCTAACAACCATCCTCATTGTCGGCTGGTCGTAACATGCATTCACAGTGGCCCCTTTAAGGACAATCGTCGAAGTTTATAACGTCCTCTTCTCGTTCAATTCGAAGCACATTGCTGACGATCTTGGCGGACCACTCTGTACGGCCAAGCATCCTGTAATCTCTTTTGCTCAGAAAAATAGTCTGGAGAGTAATCTGTGGAAATGGTACCTCCCAGGTTACTCTACAACGGTAGATGAGGGACGTTGGGACCTGCATATACCACCAACAGAAGTTCACTCCAATCCCGATCAAAACTATTCTAATGCCATAGGTGACAGTTTTTCGCCTTCAAAATTTCACCACCCGCATTCCTTTCATATATTTTTTCGGCGAATTCTTCACAAGAATCGCACTGTAGATGTCTCACTAGGGAATGTTCTTCAGTACGGACATGTCTTCATGGCCCATTGCATTCAATTTACTTTGACGACTTCCACAAGCCGGTTTCATTATAATCGTCCTAAGGAATTAAATAACGGTTGATTCTTAAGAACTCCTTAAAATTTGTGCATTGAAAATCCAAACTAATATACAACAGACAACCAAATCCCTCTAACCTCCCAGCTTTTGCTGATGTCCAGTACTTTTGTATGTGTAATCTGACTGACATTGATCAAGAGGTGCTATGATAGACATATTCTATTCTGAACAGTCATTAGTAGGTCCTGTAGTATGACGCAGTCCAACCTGGAAGGAAGATAACTAAACTGACTGTTTTGGGCTTATAATGGGTCGCACATTTTGCATTCTATATAGCCTGAGATGTAGACCCATCTCGCAAAACATCCACAAGCGCACCTTCTCCGAAATTGGCGCCAGGCTATTGCACTAAAACTACATTGTGTTCACAATCTGTAACTTGGTGGAGAACGGCATCCTTTGTACCCAAAATGTTTTCAAAAGTCAGGGTCAATTTCATGGGATTAAAGTTCGAACGCGTGGATCTGTAGGAATATTGACGCAGTCTGTCCGATTTCGGATTAGTCGTGCTCGACCCCCGTGCGCCTTGGCGGTGATCCATCGGCACCACGACGCCGCACTTGTCACATCTATTGGCCATTTAAAGACTACCATATATAGTAGTTTTCGGCCTCTATCACCCAAGTGGCTAAACCTCTGTGTTATCCTAACTTTCATTATCCATGCTTGCTCCTGCCTATTGGTTTATTAGTTAGACCTACCTGCACTGACCGGAGGCCCCATACATGCCGAGGAAAATTGATGTTCAGACATCGTGGATAGGAGGAGGCTTCCCCGACACCCCAACTCGTCATCGCCGTTCTCGCCTGCCGGATCAATCAAGGATCGTATCCAGGCCAACCGTTCCCCGCCAAATAACCTTCCCGTGTTCCGTACTTTGCCTGAACTCAAACCTATTTTCCCGTCGTCCTAAAAAATCACTAATAATCCCCTTAGGCAACTGTCTTGTGATTTTACTGGGAGTCGAATAGGAGGGTTTCGACACGTAGCACGTTTTGGACGCTTACAGATCTACTTGGGATACACATGCGTAGGGATTGTCATAACCGCATGCACCAGCAAATATTTTAGCGTCATATTTACTCTGATTATTGTCGTAGATTTCTCAGAAGTGAACACGCCACGTAGGTTTGGCAAGCGACCCCATTAGTTTTAATTTACTGAATACGATGTGATATTTTTGGAAACACGTTGGGCGTTTGTTCGGTATGTGGTTTTGGTGCTGTTACTGCCATTCGTATGATTCAAATCTAATTAACCGCCCATCCCAAGATTTGAAATAAAATTGCTGATGTTACTCCCAATGAGTTTACGCTAGAAAACCGAGAAGTCTGTAATACCTGTTTTCTAGGCAACAACCGTTACTGAAACCCTAGTAGCAAACTATATCTAGTAGATATCTATTAGATATCGATTAATCGAGATACTACGCCATCGGCGAAAAGGGGACGTAATATGCTACGCGTGAGATCGTTTGCTTTACCCAATGCCCTTTTTTGCCCCCATCCATTCCTTTTCTTGTCCTTGAGAGTTAACTCTCAAGAGGATTGCGTGCGAGTAAAGCACCCTATGTTATCTTTGTCTGAAAGTTCTTCATCCGACCCTACAGTGGTGGAAAAGCTTCCTCCTTAGAAGTAGTCGTTGGTAGGTTGAGGTACTCAGAACACCCGTCGATTATATCTCAACCGTTTGCGGCCTGGAAGCAAGATCGCCGAATTGGTTGAATGGCATTTCATTTACCTTAGTTACGCAGACCACTTAGCTGCCTTTACTCTTAGTCAATTGCTACGTTAGGCAGACCACAATTGCCATCGGTCAGCAG